ATCACTCAGTCAACCATTCTCAATCAGAATTGTCCTAAATTTCATTCTCAATTAACTATTATACTAATTTACTCATTTTTCGTCCTTAGGAGCCACCCGTTACACTCTTCCTACCCCTGATTGAAATAAAATTATTTTTACTAATTAGCTATGATTTGGGTGGATCATATGCATCATTGTCATTTGTATGTAGCTCGTTATAAAAATTGAGTATGCCAATACACAACTTATACATCATACATCAAATATTTGAAAGGTCAACCATTCTCATTTAAATGTGTTATTTTTCATACCCGATTAAATATTAGACCTAATTTATCATTTTTCTTCCCGAGCCAGGACCCACCCTCTCCCTCCGCCCCTGGCTATGTTCTATGTTAATAGATCATCTATCTATCAAAGTATGAGTTGTTTGGATGAGAAATTCTAACGGATTAATTTGACTCAATTGTTTTGTTTTGATGCAATCTGGCCAAATTGATCCTTTTGGCAACACAAAATTTAGATGAAGCAACTCTACTCGGCGAATTTTCAAATTGACTCGTTGAGGCATTTACAATTGTCTGAAGTGGGGGCAGATAATTCAAATTGACTCATTTTAAATCACACGTTTTGTAAATTCTTCCCTTATTAAAAAAAGTGAAGGTAAATTCTTATCGGAAAAATTAGAAATGGGAGTCCAAAGTTCATGCTTTTGTAAAAAGTAGTAAAGAGATGATAGATACAGGGGCGGAGCTAAGTGGGGCCTCGGGGAGGCCCCCAGAATTTCGACGTTACGTACAAACCTCAAAGAATAATGGAAAATTACGTATAAATTACATTTTTATATAAGTAAACGTGGATGCAAAACTGATGCAAAATAGTAAGGATGGTCGAGTGGCAGAGATGCAAAGCTTAATTCGTTGATGCTCAGGTTCGAATTCAACTTGCTGAAAAAATTAACAGACATTCAATTTTCATTTTTGAAAAATAATAATTTTTTGTTCGTAGTTTAATTGCTCTATTAATATGGATTTAACTCTTTTAATTCTGTCAACTTCCATATTTTCTTTTACAAGTCCAATATTTGAAATAAATTGATCAAATTTTAAATACTTATGTTTAAGTCTTCTTTTGGTTATACAATGAACTATTTTTTAACTATTATATTGACGAGAATTCATGTTTTATTTATAAATATACTAAAACTTTTAAACATTTTATTTTTTTACGATGATAAAGCAAATAACTCCTGCACCCCACTCCCCAGACTCAAATCCTGGCTCCGCCCCTAGATAGATATCAACAATTCTATAAATAAGGAATTCTTTCAGCATCTGGTGATTTATTTGTTCAACTTGCTAGTATTATTGTCCGCCTTTACACGAGTATTTTTTATAATGGCGATTAATATTAAACAAAAAAACTGTACAACAGCGGCAGCGAGATCACAAGACTTGATCTCAAGGGTACGAAGTCTAACAAAGCAAAACAAAAACCAAAAAACAAAAGCAAACAGAGCTCAGAAACGCAGAGCAATAAACCTAATATGCTCCACCTCGCCAAGAAGAAGAACAGGGACCCAGAACCAAGCAAAAACCCACAGCCCACTGAAAAGATCAGCACAGTACAGCTTCGAATATGAAAGGATCCAACCAAGGCACCTCTGAAACAACAACCAAAGCTATTCACAACTGCAAAAACTCAATCAAACCACAGGAAACTATCCCCTCACATCCGCATCGTTCCTGATCCATCTCTGTCCTTCTGCTTTCTCGACCTTGCCTTGAGCTACAAGCCACTCCATAGAATTCAGAACAGCTCTTCTGGCCACAACTAAATCTCTCCAACAACTCAAATTATATATAGCAACCGGTTGGTTTTTGACAAACAGCACTTAACCTCAGATGCATGGTATTTTCACTTCATGAGTGCCAACTGATATTGAGTACAAAAAAAAATCGGCTAAATTACACGTTTGGTCACTCAAATTATACAAATCTTTCACATTTACCACCCTAATTACTTTTCTTTCTTATTCGTCACTAACTTTACGAATCGTTTCACCGTTAGTCACCGGCCGTTAGACTCCGTTAACTTTGTCCTATGTGGCAGTCAACTATAAAGTTTGACCATTAACTAGATGACGTGGAAATTAAAAAAAATTAAAAAATAAATTTATTTTTCCACCTCATCATTTCAAATTTATCATATTAATTATTTAATAAAAATTAATAAATGGAAAAATTAATATGATAATTAATTAATTTTTTATCATATTTTTGACCGACGACCGGGCGTCAGCGCCATGTTCTTCCTGAACGATCGCACTGGCGGCCACCGCACCACCTGTGCCCTACATTTTTGTGTAAATACGTAAAAATAAATACTCAAACAACCACTAAGCTAGCCCAAATATAAGGTGGTTAGCCTAATGATATAGTACATGTGATAATAACCTGGATTCCATATTTTAAGATGACAGTAATTAATATGTGACAAAAGCTAACAAACTAACATCAGAGTCTAACACCAAAACGAAAAGGATACTTATGAACCCACTTACTTGGCAGGAGGCTTGGCGGGATCTGGATCAGCAGTGATGGCCGGGTGAGGTTGTTGAGGGCTGTTGGAGTTATTCCAAATCGGCAATAAAATAGAAATAACATCGATAAACTGAAGAATGACGTCGTCTCTGCGCAGGAGCTTGCCCAGCAAGTGAGGGCGTCGATTTGGAAGAACTCCCGAGGCAAGATGGTGACTGCTGATCCAGGCCATCGTGACATTATTTAGAAGCCATCAACTGCCCGACTGCTGGTGTTTTGATATCTCCGTCGCCGAAGCAATTAAGCAGGAGAGGTCGAGTTCATTCGTCAACGGGGGTTAGTTTGAGGAAGGTGAAGACCCTTTGCACAAACCCAGACAGTAATCACGACATGGAGAAAGCTCAGGAGCACATGGTGGAGTTGTCGTCGTGGCCGGCGGCGGGGGAGGTTGAGGAGGAAGAGGAGTAGCGGAGTGTGATGGTGGTGGTGAGGGTCATGATAAATAAATAAAAATGAATTATTTATCATATTATTATTTGTTATTTATTTATTTTTATTAAATAATTAATATGGTAAATTTGAAATGATGAGGTGGAAAAATAAATTAACTTTTTAATTTTTTTTAAATTTCCACGTTATCTAGTTAACGGTCAAACTTCATAGTTGACTGCCACGTAGGACAAAGTTAACGGAGTCTAACAGCCGGTGACTAACGGTGAAACGATTCGTAAAGTTAGTGGCGAATAAGAAAGAAAAGTAATTAGGGTGATAAATGTGAAAGATTTGTATAATTTGAGTGATCAAACGTGTAATTTAGAAGAAAAAAAATCCATCTTGCTTTGAGTGAATTGATTACGACATGCATATTACTTGCTTTTGCACAATTAACCACTCACTTAACTGAAGTTAGGGCTACGGCCGACGTCATATTCAGGGTATCTCTTTGTCAACAGTAGTCGAAATATCATCAGTGTGGGGCAAAAAGGAAAGAACAACTTTCGTCATCCTCCAATATTCCACCCCTTCGCCCAATAACATAAAGCAACTCCCCTCCATCGAATTATCAAAAGTGTCGTGACAGCGTCAGCCATTTTTGCAACGAATGAAGGAATGGATAAGTCCCGGTGAGGAATGAACTTGTCGGCTGCATGTCGCCTTAAAGCATCAACTATCTTTCCTCCAAAACAATGAGCAATTTGGTTGTGTGGATGTTGAATGATCAGCCCCCATAACCTTGGTTCTAGGGTGTTTATCAACCACGAGCTAGCCAACGTATCTTGTTTAGCTTCTCATGGAACGGTTCAATCGTGATATTTTAGACAAATCCCACATCGAAAAAGTACAGGAGAGATATATAATTCATAAGTAAGAAATCGTTTTTAACTGACAAGACGTGTTTTGGGATGAAGTGAAAGAGCTCATGTAAGAACTCCAAAGTTAAACATACTCAGTACTATGGAGTACAACAAGGATGTGTGACCGTATAGGAAGTCACAATGAATTACACCCCAATACGAAAAACGTGAGGGTTTAGGCCCTAAGTAGACAAAATCTTGTCGAAAAAAGGTTCAGGATGTTATATCAACCGTCCCTAATGAATTGCCCACTGGTTGTAGATCAACGCCTCGATCTAATTCACCGATTGGTTATTCAAGTTTAAAACATAGGTATGTTTTCATTGCCACGACAAAGAGAAAGGTGTATAAACCAGCAGAGTCCTTATGAGTAACGATCAGAAATCAGTCTCAAACCCTTCTCGAAACTTAATAGTGAACGCGTATTTTTTGCCCCAAGCATAATTCTACTTTAGTACTTACCTATGCAAATTCATAAAAATATACGAGAGTCCAAGTCTGACACGAACTTGCCATATATGAAATATGAACACAAGGCTGGAATGAAATGCAATAACTGATTAGCCATTGGCAAGGTAGATCAAATGGAAACTAACTACTATCAAGCGTGCAAGCGAACTGACAAAGACAGTTTTTTCTAATCTGGGTTAAAGTTTCGATTAGAAAGTAGTAAACAAATGGCAACTTGATTACTAAAATCAGAAAAAAAGAGTTGTTGAGTGGGGAAATGAGACAGCCAGGGATTCCCATTGGCGAGGAGATGATGTGCGTCTGATTCCACCAACTCAATTTATCTACTGGTATTGCTGGATTGGATAAGCCTTCCTCTGCATTAGGCATTCTCCACTAAAATAAACAAAACCGAAAATTCGGAATAATAATAATAATATAAAAAAAACAATAATTATTAAGCATTCCGGATTTTGACAAATAGGAAGAAAAAAGAATTCGGGCGGTAAAGTTGAGGCTATGACGTCACAAACCAAAGGGAAATTATTATAAAAAAAAAACTCGAGAATTGGGGAAAGCATTGGTAGAATCCACATCGACAAGCGCTTCCGGACTGGGGTGCGCAATACGCCATTGTTTTTTTAACGTTCTCCTTCTCCTTCCTTCCTGTGTTCACGAGAAAAAAATGGAGAGAGAGAGAAAGTAGAAGCAGAAGCTTGCCATGGCTGCTTTCCTTTCTCTCGGGACCAAATTTCCCTCTCTTCCAAATCGTGCAGTATTCTGCGCCTCAATCAGCTAACCGAATCACTCGAACGGAGTGTATCGCCGGCCGGCAGTCGTTGCTGATCGCTGCTTGCAGTTTCCGAAGTGAAATTGTGACTTCTCATTTTTTCTCTTCTCTGTTTTCGTTTCTTCTGCGGACTGGTCGGATTCTTGGATCCTGTATGTGCTTGTGTGTGGGAGTTACCGATGGGAGACACGGAGAGCTGCAGCAGCAGAGCTGTTGATTTCGTGCCGGCGGTGAGCCGGAACCAGAGGCAGAAGGTCGCGGTCTACAATGAAGTCCTCCGCCGGCTTAGGGACTCCAATGACGAGGAATCTGGCCTTCAAGGCTTCGACGATGAGCTCTGGAATCACTTCCTCTGTCTTCCCACTAGGTAACGTACTGTTCCGCCGCTTGATTTTTTTTTTTTTTAATTCCGTTCCGTTTTCCTCCTCCGCAACAGTTCGCAAACTGGCCGCCTCATCGATCAACCAAAATTGGCTAGTTCACAAGCCGTATACTGTACGGATTACGGCTTCTGTGTTCTCTTACTTGTTATTTTGAACTGGTTGGTTCGTCGCTGCCAAATGCATTTTGCATGTTGGAGCGTCTCCTCTAGGTTTTGCCGGTAACTGCCAATTAGTCTTCTCCTTCTGATTCGCTGGTTAAAACCCGCTGAATCTTCCAATTCCGATCGTCTAATGATCCATTAGTCCCTTTTTTGTTTCGTGCCTGCTTTCTGTTTGCAGTGATTCTAAGATTTTCCGATTTGGCAGATACGCGCTGGAAGTGAACGCAGAGAGGGCGCAGGACGTGCTTATGCACAAGAGATTACTGCAGATGGCTCATAATCCGGCTACTAGACCGGCGATTGAAGTCCGGCTAGTGCAGGTAAAAGATTCAGCTGTCGATTCCATTAGATGCTCTCGGCTCCTACTTTTTCTTGACCTTTTCGCTTGAAACGTTTTTTCCCCCGTTGGGCAGCATATTACTCTAGATTCTTAAAGGGTGCTTTCATTAATTTATGGCTGAATTATTGGTAGGGTAGGTAGACTGCGAGGTTTGTTTGTGTTTCAGATAATTCCGTGAGGCCCCGTTTAAGGCTTTGTGGGTACGATTTTCTGAACCCAGTTTGGATCATACACACAGTTGAAAAGCAAATAGAGAAAGGGGGAAAAGAAGTTTGGGAAAGAAAGGGCCAGGAGGTATCGAGACGCTTTCCTTTCCCCCCTTTCCAAACGGGCTTGCTTTTTCCACTTGCCGTTGATTTGCCTGTTAACTAAGCCGTTGACTTCTGATCTTCCAACTGACGATCACAATTACTGTTTCTCGAGTTCCCTTTTCTATGATTGGAGCCTTTAGGATGAACTTTCACAATTCTCGTGTAAATTTGGCGATTGGGGTTGCCAACCTTGTTAAATGGTTGATAAGCTGGATGAAATACTAAATGCGGTTGATTCTCACTAATGAAACACTATGCTCGACTGAGTTTATCTTTTGAAGCTAGTATAGTTTGCTTTGACCAGACTGTCGTGGCTGATTCATCTTGGTGTTCGCTCATGCTGTTCTTCTGCAGGTTTATTCTGCATCCCGTGGAAATTCAGGTGACTCTACTCATTCTGACTTTCCCAAGAAAAAGCAACCTCAATCTTCTGACCAACCCTTGAAGCAGAGGCATGGGTTATTCACATTCAGTCAACTTTCTGATTTGCTCCAATGGGTAATTTACTGACTCGTTTGCCTCTTTGTCTTGCTTCAGCCTCCATCCACCACCTGCATTCGGTTCATTTCCGGATTTAGAACTTGCATATGAAGCTCAAGATAAGGATATTGGCCGTGTGATTTACTCTCGGTAACAATTCGTGGAAGCTTTCTCTAGCTTGTGAACTTGTAGTTGCCCTTGGTTTAGTGCATCTCGAATGTCAGTTGATTATATTTCTGAAGATTTGATTCTTCTGATACCTCTGTTGTTTACTATGCTGTAGTTTCAGAGTGGTAGTATAATGTTGTTACTTTCTTTTTATTATTCCTTGGGTCCAAGTTGCATAGAATTTTTTTTACGTCTTGTAGTATGCCTATCCTTCATCATACCTTTTCCATGTACTCCATCTAGGCTTCCATGGATTCCTGAGCATCCGCTTAACTGAAACATAAATTGTTTCTTCGCTACAGGCTTATGCATGAAATCACAATTTCCACGAATGATAAGCCAAAGCTTCTGAGTCAGGTAATCTGGATTTTTTAACTACAGTGTTATGAAATTCTTTATCTCAGTTCGGTTTCATCTGCTGATTGTTTCGTCTTTCATTATGCCATTTGTTTCAGCTAACTTCCTTACTCTCTGAGCTTGACCTAAATATACAAGAAGCACATGCTTTTTCCACAACAGATGGGTACTCATTAGATGTGTTTGTTGTTGACAATTGGAGCGCTGAGGTACACCTCTACCCTTCTCCATGCAGTACTTGATTCACTAAATTTACTTTCATATGTTCTTTGCTCAGATTACTCATTTTAGAGTGAAGGGGCATATTGGACTTGGTCAATTATAATTTTGTTGATCTGGACTGGAGAATATTTCATTACCTCATCATATCATTTTGAGAGTCTGTGTGCTGGGTACTGGAATTCCTCTGATGTATACTGTGTGTTTCTACCTGTTCACACTAGCGTACCATTCTATCGTACTCACCAACATCGACTTCTGTTTTGTGATTCACAGGAGACAGATAAACTAAGAGTGGTGCTGGAAAATGAAATTCCTAAGATTGAGGTATCCACTTCAGCTTGCTACTCCATTAATTAGACAGTAGGGAAGTTAGTTGGTTTCTTAATCTTGCCTTAAGAGTCATCTGAACCATAGCCACGACATCTTAGTCTTCAATTCTTCTGACTAGTCAGCTTACCAAAAATCAAATGTATCCAACAATTTAGGAAATTGTCAAGAATTTATCAGCCCTTTTCTATCTGGCAGTAAGTGTACTGCAGAAAAATACGGTTTCGAGATCTCATTTAATTTATCATGTTGCGAAGCAAGACCAAACAGGAACGAATCCCAGATCTTCTGATATGAGCATCCCAACTGTGCCAATTGATGTTTGGGAAATTGATGCAAGATTGCTGAAGTATGAATACAAAGTTGCATCTGGACCCTATGGAGACATGTGAGTTGTGATCTCTTTAAAATCGTGTGCTGAATCCTGTTATTAGTGCTGCTTATTAATATGACTCTGTCGAAGCAGGTATAAAGGCACCTTCTGTACTCAAGATGTGGCTATCAAACATTTCAGGGCAGAGCACCTATGTGATAAGCTTCGAAAGGAATTTACTCAAGAAATCTTTATTATGAGGTTTGTAAACTATATGCTTCTTTTTCCTTGTTTCTTGAAAATTCCCGACAATATCCTCTAGTCGTCATGATAAGCTTGCTATTCCTGTGCTCTTCTCCTTGCTATAATTTTACCTGTTTCCTGAGATACGATATCATATGATATTCTAAAGAAATAGACTGTATAAAGCTATGCTGTTATCTAAATCAGCATTTTGGTTAAACGTGTATTAACTAACTTGATGATGGTCCTTTGTCAAATCGTCCTCAATGCACGTTTGCTGCATTGAGGTTCAGATGCTAACTTCACTTATTTCATTTGCTCCGCAGGAAAGTCCGGCACAAGAATGTTGTTCAGTTCATTGGTGCATGTACCAGGCCTCCAAACCTATGTATTGTGACAGGTAAAAGATATTGAATACCTCATAAAATCAGCTGATTTTGTGTTGGTGATTTTTTTAGGTTGTGGACATAAGGGGTGAAATTTCAATTCATATTCACTTCATCTTATTTTCCTTTCTGTGTATCTTTTTGCACTCAGAATTTATGTCTGGTGGAAGCATGTATGACCATCTGCATAAAAGAAAGGAATGTTTTAATCTTCAGTCCTTACTCAGAGTAGCAGTTGATGTATCCAGGGGAATGAGCTACTTGCACAGAAATAACATAATCCACAGAGACCTGAAAGCTGCCAATCTTCTAATGGATGAAAACGGAGTGAGCAATTTGGTGTCTTTTCCTTCTTCCATATGTAGTTTCATGTCGCAGTTCCCTTCTCCATGTCATTGTATACTTGAGCTCCTCTCAAGCAATGGAAAAATGAAGATGCTTCACAAACTTTTATGAAAAGCTGCAGGATGAGATGGGAACTCGGTTACTTATATTTGAATAAGATATATCAAGAAAGCTCAATAGAATTCTATCTCGTTGACCTGCATTAAATTTACAGTAAATTTGGTTTTCAGGTTGTAAAGGTTGCTGATTTCGGTGTTGCCAGAGTGCAAGATCGTTCAGGAGTAATGACTGCAGAAACTGGAACGTACCGTTGGATGGCTCCAGAGGTGTGCAATACCATTCACCTATAGTTTCCAAAGTGGTGGAAGCTTCCTCTCCCTTTCCCTTGCCTACAAAATTCTTCTTCCCAGTACTACCCTTACTGATTTGTATTTTTCCTTTCTCACTCTAAAAGGTTATTGAACACAAGCCATACAATCAAAAAGCTGATGTTTTCAGCTTCAGTATTGTGCTATGGGAACTTCTCACAGGAAAGGTAATGCTAGTCTCCCCTGGTGTTGTATTCAATATTCCATATTCTTTATGTCATTCTTTCCAATCTACTTTCTTGGTAAAGGAAACGTAGTATGAATAGCTTATCAATTTTCTCTGTAAATTCTTGTTAGATTCCTTATGACAACTTGACCCCAGTACAAGCTGCAGTTGGTGTAGTACAGCAGGTAATCTCTGGTTCTCTTACTCCACATGAAACTGTAGGCATCTGTCAATCTTTCCTTCTTATGATTACACTCTACTTGTAATGACTTGGAAATAAGACGATGAATTAGCAGCCCAAGCCAACTGATAAGCTGGCTTTTCTGATCTATCATTATTCTATAGGGGCTGAGACCATCCATCCCAAAGAACACCCATCCTAAATTGGCAGAACTTCTTGAGAGATGCTGGGACAGAGACCCTTGTTCGAGGCCTGAATTCTCTGAAATTTTGGAACTTCTACAGAACTTACAGAGGATGGTAAACTTAAATTCATAAACTGATACTGAAATTTTCACATTGTAATTTCACTCTTCATATTATGAAAAAGGTTCATCTTCGTTCGTCTATAATTACTTGAACAGGTCTCGGAGGAAGGAGAAGACAGGGCAAAACACAAGGTATCTAGGAAAGTAGTGGCTGCAACAGGCTGAGAACAGGAGTTTGAGGTTGCAAGAAGTGAGGAACATTGTACATAACGTTTGTAGTAGTTAAATTTCACACTTGAGTAACAATTGGTTTCTTTGTTTACTATTTTTGTTTGTTCTAAGTTTTTTCCCCCCTCCTAAGTTAGTACCCAGTTTTCTCTAATGACTAGTTCTGCTGATGTTCAACTGTTGTTTAGCTTATGAGAGTGGTATGAACGATCTTGAGCTGGAAATCATTGTAGGCTTCCTAACTCCGTGTATTCAGAGTAAATATACAGCTCAAAGTTGACAAGAGCATGAACTTAACTGTTCGTTTTTGGTTTGGTAACATTTTCACTTGCATCTCAAGACTCAGGTCCCCTGCAACTGCAAGCACTTCTCGAGGCATGATGATGAGGCTGGAAGCTGTAGCAGATGGATTATACACCGTAAAAAGGTAACTCCAGTATATGATTAATTTTTGCTCCAGAACCAGAACTTCTGAGAGTCTGTCTTTATTTCCTTGACTTGAGAAGATCATATCATTGAATGTAGGTTCACATTAAAATAAAGATTGTCTAGTGGAGGAAGAATAACTTGGATTGTCTGTGCACTGTCTGGAATGGCCCAAAGGACAGAATATATGCCGTTACTATTGAATATTGATAACACCTGTGATTGTAATACGCATTAAGTTGATAATCACTAGTTGCTTGTAGCATCTTCAGTCTATTCAGCTGATATGGATCACTCTAATAACTCATAAGGACCTTTTCCCCCTCACGTGGCTTTACACTTCATGTTGCAGTCGTCAACTTCCTACGTTTCAAGTTCACAGCTTAGATTCTTCGATCATGGACTGTCTTTAATTTGCATTTCATCTACATTTCATTACATTAGAATCATGCAGCAGTTTTATGTGGGCTACATATATATGAGCTGAACCATTTTCAGAAACCATTAAGCATCCACTCAAGAGCATTCCCTCCAATGGAGACATTGAGAAAGTCCTTGAAATCTTGCTGTTCTCATGCCAAACGGCAGCAACAGCATGAAGCCCTCTTGGATCACAGTGGTGGCCAGGAAGCGCAGTCGGTGGTTGATATTCATACTTCCACTCCCTGCACAGAAACAACGGGGGTTACTGCTGATGCTTCCAACCCTAGCAAACCAGCAAAGCAGAAGGCATCCTTCGCCAAAATCGCGGAGGAAGCCATGTGGCGCATACCAGATAAAGACGGCCAACCATCTCACAACGATCAATCCTTTCGTCGTAACCCATGGAGGTCACTCATGATTAGAACGAAGTCCAGACTAATTGAAGACGAAGACGACAGAACAATGAACTCCGACGATATTGAATCTCTAGAAGAAGACTGTGGCAAAGAAGAAGAAGAAGAAGAAGAAGACAAGGATGACCATGAAGATGTCTCAAACAACAACCACCTGGAAACCAGTACTTTCGCAATGCTTGTGTGGCAGCTGCCTCTCATATTAGCTCTCTTAGCCTTAGCTTCCACGCTCAGCATACCTTCCATGAGAAACCAAACTCTTTGTGATCTTCCCTTATGGAAATGGGAGGTCATGGCTCTGGTAATCCTGGGGGGAAATTGGGTCTCCGGTTGGTTGATCAAGCTCATTGTGATCCTCATCGAGCAGAACTTCCTACTCCAGAAGCGAGTTCTCTACTTTGTTTACGGATTAAAGAAAGCTGTTCAACACTCTATCTGGTTAGGCTCAACTTTACTCATTTGGCACTTCATCATCTTCGACGACAAGATTGAGAAGCAGACTCACAGCAAAATCTTGCCTTATGGAACAAAGATTTTAACTTGCCTTTTGGTTGGAACTTTGATCTGGCTGGGTAAGACCCTCTTCGTCAAAGTCCTCGCCTCTTCCTTCCACGAGAACACGTTCTTTGAGCGAATCCAAGAGGCGTTGTTCAATCAGTTCGTGATCGACACACTCTCTGGTCCGCCTGCTTTTGAAGGAAATGAAATGAGGTATGGGAGGAAACTGGAGAAGTACTCCACCATTGGGAACAGGTCGAGGTTTTCGAGAAGGAACGAGGAGATTCCCATCGATGAGCAGCAGAATCTGAGCAAGAAAAACATGTCGGGCTGGACCATGAGGAGAATGATCAATATTGTTCGGCGAGGTTCGTTGTCTACTCTGGATGAGCACGTGCTTGATTCGGACACGAAAGGTGACGAGTCGTCCTTGCATATAAGGAGTGTGTGCCAAGCGAAGGCAGCAGCCAAGAAGATCTTCACCAATGTGGCTGCTCCAGGATCCCAGTAAGTTCTTCAGTTTTCCCCAAGTTTCAGTAGGTTATCTAATCAGTCATCAGATAATTGCATTGTCATTTATTTTCAATGACCAGGCATATTTTCATTGGGGACCTCATCCGATTCATGGGTAAAGAAGAGGCTTTGAGGGCCATGCATCACTTCGGACCAGCTTCTGAGAATGGAGGGATAAGCAAATCATTGCTCACCGAGTGGCTGGTAATATATGAATGTCAAACCATCATCCCCTGTCTCTTTCAAGACTTTATCATTGCTCACTAAACTCTGCCTCACAGGTGAATGCATTCAGGGACAGGCAAGCCCTCGCGCTGTCCCTGAACGACACGAAAACAGCAGTGGACGAGCTCCATAGCCTGCTGAACGTCATCGTAGCAGTGATCATCGTAATAATCTGGCTCGTCATGCTGGGAATCCCCATTGCCCACTTCCTCGTCCTCTTGAGCTCCCAGATCCTCTTGGTAGGCTTTATCTTCAGCAACTCCTGCAAGACCACGTTCGAGGCCATCATTTTCCTGTTCGTCATGCATCCCTTCGACGTTGGCGATCTCTGCGAAGTTGATGGCGTCCAGGTAGCCCCATCCTCCAATGTTTCATTTCCCTTTCTCTTCCTTCCATCCTCACGTTTTTATTATATACAGATGAGAGTGGAGGAAATGAACATCTTGACTACAGTGTTCTTAAAGTCGGACTACCAGAAGATCACGTTCCCAAACAGCCTTTTGTCGACCAAACCGATCTCCAACTACTACCGCAGCCCCGATATGGCGGAGGCGATCCACCTCTGCATCCACATCTCGACTCCACTGGAGAAAATCTCCGCCATGAACGACCGGCTAAAAGGGTACATGGGCTTCTCCCTCCTCTTCGTCGTCGTGCGGTCCCGCAGCTTACAAACAAATTGACGTTCTACTTCTTCTTCCCCCTTTCTTTGGCAGGTACGTGGAGCGCCACAACCAGTTCTGGCACCCGACGGCGTCGGTCACCATAAGAGAGGTGGAAGACATGAACAAGCTGAAAATACAAGCGCTGGTGAGGCACAGGATGAACTTCCAGAACATGGGGGACAGATTCGCGAGGAGAAGCCATCTCATTCAGGAGCTCGTAAGAATGTTTCACGATTTGGATGTCGAGTACCGGTTGCTCCCGCTCGATGTTAACGTGCGAAATCTCCCGGCTTCCAATTGATGAACGAGGTAAAAATTGGTAATAAGTAAAAATAAATAAAAGAAAAATTAGTAATAACTAATAAGTGGTGGAAAAGGAATTTTTATTTTTCACCGCCGAGGTGGGGACCAGCATCTAACCATCGCAATGAAGAAAGGGATAAAGTGGAAGTTTGCAGCTTCTTCCTTCCAGCTCACACCTCTGTTTCCTCTTCCTCTCTATTTATCTATCGTGTGGTTGAGAACCGAACAGAACACGAAGGCAAAGCTCTTCTTCCCACTCTGCCTTCTCTCTGCCGCCAAATCTACAATGGCAGCGGTTGCTCCGGTGAAGGTCTACGGCCCGCCGCTGTCGACGGCGGTGTCGAGGGTGCTGGCTTGCCTGATAGAGAAGGACGTGGCGTTCCAGCTCGTCCCCGTCAGTATGGCCAAAGGGGAGCACAAGAAGCCCGATTTCCTCAAGCTCCAGCCTTTCGGCCAAGTCCCTGCCTTTCAAGACGACTCCATTTCCCTCTTCGGTTAGACCCCATTTCTCTCTTACCTCTTTGTTAAGCAAATCCAAAATAGTATTGAAAGTTTATGTTTTTCACTAGTCAGTCACTGCATGTTTTCTTACAGACTGTTGAATATTTTTGGGTAGAAACAGACTGTTGAATTTGTTAATGAATGACTCAACTTTTTCTTGGTGGACTGCACTGTAAGAGCAATACACAAACAAGTGTAGTTGCGATTTATGGACTTGATTTAATTTGGATAGAATCACTTTCCTCTGTTTTTGCAGAGTCGAGAGCAATCTGCCGGTACATATGTGAGAAGTACCCCGATAAGGGGAACACGGCGCTCTACCCTGCGAACCCACTAGCCAAGGCCTCGGTCGACCAGTGGCTGGAGGCGGAGTCGCAGAGCTTCAACCCGCCAAGCGGGGTGCTCGTGTTCCAGCTGGCGTTCGCCCCGCGAATGAAGATCCCTCAGGACCCAAAAGCTATCAAGCTGAACCAGGATAAGCTGAAGAAAGTGCTGGATGTGTATGAGAAGAGGCTGTCAGAGAGCAAGTTCCTGGCCGGGGACGAGTTCTCGTTGGCCGATCTCTCTCATCTGCCGAATGCGGATTACTTGGTGGATGTGGCCGGGAAAGGAGAGGTGTTTGGCTCGAGGGAGAATGTCGGGAGGTGGTGGGAGGAGATCTCCGGTAGGGAGGCTTGGAACAAGGTCAAGGAGTTGAGGAAGAGTGCTTGAGCTTGACTCTTGTTTTCCCCTTTCTTTAAAGAAATAATGAGTGCCCTTTCTTGATTGTGATAATCCTTCAAATGAAAAGTTATGAATTGATAGACGAACCACGATTTAATATTTTGTAATCTTCCATGTATTTTGTTCATTGTAATGGGAGTGGGCATATAAATTCAATATTTGATAAAAGGAATTAGTACCTGACGGAAAAAGGTTGAAGTTTTAGGAAATGAAGACTCTCAACCTAACGAAAAGAGACAGTAGTATCTCGTCTTTATACACTTCAAGAAGAACTATAACAGGATTCAATTCAACAATCGCCATCTACAAAATATGAAGATAGTGATCTCTGCATCACTTGGAGAAATGCAGCAGCTAGCTTAACTCGGTGGAGAAGATGACGAACTATGACTGAAGGAAATAGAGTCTCCACTGAGGGCCGAAACGGTGGCGTATGAGAAAGAGAGCACAAGAGCTGCGCACCGTTTCGGCTAAGCACACACTTAGTGTCTAAAACGTACAGCTTTGCCACTTGGCAATCAGACACTGGGTAGTTCATAGTTACTGTTATATTAGCCGTTTTTGTACAGTGTCCTTAGATAGTTTTTAGTTTTTACTCTTCTTTTACCTAGGTCACAATTGTACAGAGTATAAATTGCTGCTGCAGATGAATGATATGGCCATTGAGCCGCATTCCCACAAACCCTAACGAGCTCATTCCTCTGCAAACCCCATTATTCCTTTTGCAGTGTTTTATCCGATTATAGAATTTCTCATGGTATCAGAGCCTGGTTGGCTTTGATATCTTCCCTTCTTCCACTTTCTATTAACTTTCTGAGTAAACAATGGCAACCACTGAAGGAGACGAATCACCAAAGAAGAATGGCAAAGAGGTCGGAGGCGCATCAGGGTCCAGATTTGAAGATCCTTACAACAATCACTATTATCTTGCTCAAAGTGATAACTCATTCCTTCCTGTGATTGGGTTCAAGCTCAGAGACGACAACTACTTGTTGTGGAGTGAATCCATGGAAATGGCGGTGAAGACCAAGAACAAATTTGGTTTTGTAGATGGTTCAATACCAGCACCAGCTGAAACCGATGATCTTTTCCGCACTTGGGAGAGGTGCAATGGCACTGTCGTGTGCTGGATAAGGAATTTTGTGTCTGATGAAATTGTTCCTAGTCTGAGAAGCATCAAATCTGCAGCAGAGGCGTGGTCTTGCCTCAAATCCAAGTTCAGTAAAGGAGACTACATCTGTATAGCAGATCTGCAAGAGAAGGTAGACCTCTCCAAGCAAGGTAATCTGTCGTTAGACAATACCACACGAACTTGAGAGTAGCATGGGATGAACTTCATTCATACCTGCCTATACCCTTTTGTGATTGTGAAGCTGGGACTTATAAAACTGTCAAGAAGTATGAACAGAATGCGATGATCATTCGTTTTTTGCTGGGATTGAACCAAAACTTTCAACAGGCTAGGACTCATATGCTAATGTTAGATCCTCTTCCTGATTTAGACACTGTGTATAGAAATGTTGTTCAATTGGAGAGACAGATGAATGGGACTAGTCTAGCTGGGGGAAAGACAACAGAGGCCATTGCTTTGGCAGCTCCCACTAGCCAGTCCAGGAATCAGAATTACACTAATCAGAATGTTCAGGGTAATACACAGAAGGATGACAGGAGAGGGGACTTGTTTTGCCGTTATTGCAAAAAGGACAATCATGTTATTGAAGATTGTTGGAGGTTAAAGAAGAAGAACAGAGGAGTTGTTGGATCTGGGTATGGTGGAAATGTTTCTATGGAAAGGAGATTTGCAGATAGTGTTGACACTGCATCTGAGGGAGGCTCAAACTACTTGCAGCATAATCCTCCCAACCCTGGAAGTGAGAGGGGGAACAACCCTATTCCTGATGCTCAAGCCCTTTTTACTCACTTCAACACGGCTGTGGAGGAACTTGGGAAGCTTAGGCAACTTTTCAACAACCATCCCTTTATGCAGCAGTCTTTTGGATCCAGTGGTGCTATGTCTTCTAGACCATCTTCTAGTGCTCAGGCTAACTCAGTGACAGTCAGAAATACTGGAAAGAACCCTATGGCAGGTAACATCACTCTCTCCCTGTCCAAAAATGTCCATGATAAGAACTCTTGGGTCCTAGATACTGGAGCTAGTGATCACATAGTTTGTGATATAAATCTGTTTTTGAGATGCAAACCTGTTCATGGGATCTTAGTCACTTTGCCAAATGGTGAACAAACCCCAGCCACTCATGTTGGCATTGTCAAACTGCCTTGTGGTCTTTTTCTTACCAATGTGTTGTTGGTTCCTACTTTTGCCTACAACCTGATTTCAGTCAGTCAATTGACAAAGAGTTCACCAGTATCCTTACTCTTTAAATCCCATTTTTGTTTTGTTCAGGACCTTGTCTCTCAACAGAGGATTGGTTCAATCCGAGTAGATAAGGGACTGTACCTTCTGGGAGATTCACAAACACAGAACATCCACCATCCTTCTTTTTCAACACTTTCAACCACCAACGACCAGGAGACAGATTTATGGCATAGGAGGCTAGGACACCCTTCCATTTCAAGACTTGAAGAATTACAGAAGACACATAGTCATATAGTTTTACCTACTTCTAAACACTGTGAAGTTTGCCACTTAGCAAAACAAAAACGTTTGCCTTTTAATAGAAGCTCCAGTTCTAGTGATTCCAGTTTTGATCGTGTTCATGTTGACATTTGGGGACCAGTTGATGTTGTTTCAATTGATGGCTTTAAGTACTTTCTTACTGTTTTGGATGATCATAGTCGTTGTGTGTGGATTTATATGATGGGAAACAAGTCAGAAGCTAGAAAACTGGTTCAGTCATTTTGTGCTATGGCATTGACTCAGTTTGAAAAGAAAGTTAAAACAACAAGATCAGATCAAGGTATGGAGTTTCACATGCCAGAATACTATAAAGAGCATGGCATAGTGCATGAAATGAGTTGTGTTAGAACAGCACAACAAAATGGAAGGATAGAAAGGAAACACCAACACCTGTTAAATGTTGCTAGGTCTTTGAAGTTTCAGTGTGGGTTACCAGTAAGCTTTTGGAGCTTTTTTGTTCTACATGCTGCCTACTTGATTAATAGAACCCCCACCCCTATCTTGAACAACAAGACACCCTTTGAAGTTTTGTTTGGTGTTCCACCAGACTATAGCAATTTGAAAGTCTTTGGTTGCCTGGCATATGCCAGCAACTTGGATCCTGATAAAACTAAGTTTACACCACGAGCAAAGAAGGCAGTGTTCAGAGGGTATCATTTTGGTATTAAGGGTTACACCCTTTATGATCTGGAAGACCAGAAAGTGTTCATTAGCAGGGATGTTTTATTCCATGAAGAAGAGTTTCCCTGCAAACAGAAATCTGTTAACACAGATCAGGTTTCCATTCCCATTAACACTGGTCCAGATTTTCAGAGCAATGAAGAAGATGGGTTGAACTCAACCATTACAGACTTTTTCTTTCCAACGCATCATAATGTTCATGAAACAAATGATCCGGATTATGAACCTCAGACACCTTTTTCACCAAATTCATTAGACTTTTCCCCTCAAACACCTCAAACACCTCACTCAACTTCCAGCCACCACTCTAAAACTCCTTCCACTTCTCACTCAACACCTGATCATGGTGTTAGCTTCCCTTCACCAAGTCATCAGGATTTACCCATTGCTCTGAGGAAGGAACCAAGAAATTCAAGACAACCTAACTGGTTGAGGGAGTATCACACCTAGGGATGTCAATCCAACCCGTAACCATGGGTACCCTACCCGACCGTAACCGGTCAACGAGGGTAATTACCCGCTTTGACGGGTTAAGGGGCGGGTACGGGTAATACCCGGTTTCAAAATAAAGGGTAGGGTACTGTTTGTGCCTAGTAAATACTAGGCGGTTTGTGGAGCTGGAGCGAGGCGCCTGTCTCGGGACTGAGGGGGGCTCTCCAAATACTCTGCAAAACAAGGGTCCGGGGCGGTCGCCCGGGACACTCTCCGAAGCCTAAGTTAGAGAGAGAATGAGAGAGAAAGAGAATTTATGTAGAGAGATGAGTAGTAGTTAGGTTTACCATAAATGAGCTTGCTCTGTATTTATACCTGGTTCAAAGGTAGTTGGGACATTAAATGCTCTGTCGGACGCCCCGGGCTGTGTCAGGCGTCCCGATCAGGCTTTTTATCTTTCTGCAGGCCGCCTGAGACCCGCAATAAGTGCTCAGTCTTGCCTGACACCGGATACGCATCTTCAACGGCTCCCTGCCCCTCTGCGTCGCCCAGTCGCTTTATGTCAGACATCCTTATCCGTTTCTCGGGTTTGCGGCCGGTCAAGGACCGCCCGCTGACCCGGTCTTCTGACCGGGTCTGGCCTTTCCCATTGGGCCTTGACTGCGAACGCGCCCTTCTTGGGCCCGAAGCCCAGTTACGCTCAACTACGCGGCCCAACAATTGCCCCTTAGGCGGGAAAAGCCTAGGGTTTTGGCGGCTACTAACAATGCTTTTAGCTAGTTGAGCGGTTCACGCCTCCTCTTTGTCCCATTCTGCCCCTGGACGCCAGGGGCCTAGGATTGAACTGCCTGAGGTGTAACTCGACCGCCTCGCGCCTCTCGCCCTGTACACGTGCTTGCAGGTTGGTTTCCGTGCTCTGACATCGGGCAGGCGAAACGTCCTTTCGCGTGCCTACTTTTGAATTTTGTGGCCTAGGGCACTCAACAGTCACATCACTCCTCTTTTTGCCCCTATATATACTTCAGACTCCCCGTTGTTGATCACTTTCGGCTTCTGCTCTCTCTGTCTTCTTTTCAAAATTGCGCGGTGCTCCAAATTCTCTCTCTCGCGCTATTTGGAGACTCAGCTTTCTCTTTCTGCGGATCGACGTCGGTTCTTGACCTCTTTGAGGAGAACCCAGAAACGAGACAAGAGGAAGAAGAAGAAACAACTGCTCGCCATGGTTTCTCAAGCAACTACCCCATCCGACAGTCAGAACCGAGGCCTGTCCGGCGAATCGGCCCCGCCGTCCGCCTCTGACATCGCCACCAACCCTACCTCGGTTGCCGTGACGACCACTACCTCCGGCACGGCGGCGGCCTCCGTTCCCGCAGACGGTGTTGCTTCGCGCGGCGGAGCCGGCGTCGTGCGCCCCGGAACCCAAGCCGCTAGTGCAGGCGGTCCCGCTGCTGGAGCAGGTATGCCTGATATCTCTAGTCCTTTAAGTTTATCTGACATAGAGTGGGACTCGGAGGGTATTGTTGTGTGGGGGTGGCGATGCGGTTGTTGCG